TCGCACACTTCATCCAACATATACAGGCTACCAGTAGGCCATGCCAACTCACAATTTTACCAATTCAATTCGCATGTGCACGATTTAACGCGAATTTTTGCATTTTAAGCCAAATTTCACCACTCACGGGCGTCGTACTCCTACCGACAACCCCAAACCAACACGCACTATGTCTCAAACACCAATATGCATCAATTCAGCCATAGAATGAACAGTGATTCGGCCACCACAGAAAATTCACTATAACGGCACATTTAGGCCCGTTTTTCACGCAATAAGTCACAATAATCACTCGTAATTATTCCAATCACAAAATCAATCAATTCTAACCTCCAATCTACCTCAAAAATCATCACAATTTCATCCAAACAGCTCAGCCAAAGTAGTCCAACCATTTCTCTACGAATAACCCCTAAAACTTGCTAAAACGGGCTCGAACTAACCCGAAATTACCCGTTATCCTAGGCGAAGTTTAGGATATCACTTACTCGAGGTCCTATGCGAGTTCAAGCACTCAAAGGTGGCTGAATAGCGGGGAAACAGCAGCAGCGACGGCGTCGAGTGGCGAGGACCACCGACGGCTCATGGCGGCCACGGGCAGACGATGGCGGACGGACGTGCGGTGGCGGCCAAGGGCGTGGCTGGCGGGCCACTTTCACGTGAGGGAGAGGGGTCTCGGCCGGGAGGAAATAGGGGGTTTGGGCGTGAGAGAAAATGAGGGGAGAGAGAGAGAAAAGAATAAATAGGAAGAGAAAAGGCTAGTGTAAGCCTACCCCGGCGAAATTACCATCTTGCCCCTCTCTCTACTTTCCATCCGACGGCCAAGATTCAAGCTTATCCAAAAATTGATGGCCAAGATCAATTCTTTCCAAAAATATCCAAGGGTAAAATTGGAATTTCACAAAAAGTCCAAGAGCAAAATTGTCCAAAAACTTTTATCTCTAAAGTTGGTGTGAAATGACCAAAATGCCCCTCTCATTTGTACTTGGCTTTCATAAAATCTCAAAGGCAAAACGGTCATTTTCCATTTTCTTCCAAAATTCCAATTTTCTGACGAATTCGAGCAAATTCAAAACTGACCACGGTACTTCTGACGTCGTCCAAATATTGTATCATGACTATCAAAATTTTCGATACCCAAACTCAGTCTCTATTTAATAGCTAAACTCAAATAAACACAACTTGAGCTTATCTCACACTAACGGGCGGCTTCCGGGAAAATTCGTGTATTCGACCCGTGGTCGATACTAAATCGAACCACGTTTAAGCTCACTTGAGTCATGGCGACCTCCATTGTCATATAATTGCGAGGATCAATCACTAGTTCTAAAGATCGCGATCGTTTGGAACAGGTTTGGGATCATTTGCAATTTCATATCCTGGCGAGGCGGAATCACCCGCGATCCAGTTATATGGCATTTGCAAATCGATCAATGACCAACCTTAGATCGGTCTATATTAGCCCAAAATATCACATCGACAATCCTTATGGTCGAAAGTCAGTCCATGATCAAGTTCTATGGCCGCGCGAATTAAATTCCCTAATTAGCCTTTCCCTACTGGTTAGTATCCCGAGAGTGATCAAGTCTATGCGAGATTTGCTACAAGTGCGTTATTGAAATCATGCATTTGATAAATACCAAGTGGGTCGAAATTTGGAATGTCATAAACGTGGAGTCTAGTAAAACTACCTACTGATCGAAAGGCAATTAGTTGCAAGTGGGTGTTCAAGGAGAAAATATCTGTAGATAGAGAGATAGAACGATATAAAGCTCATTTGGTTGTGAAGGGATACTCGTAGATAGAGGAAGTCGATTATGGTGAGATTTTTTCTCCTGTTGCTAAATTAAATTCCAAAAGACTTGTCTTATCTACAGCAGTTGCATACAATCTGGAGGTAGAGCAGCTTGATGTGAAGATTGCATTCCTCCATGATGACTTGAAGGAGAATATTTACATGAAGCAACCAGAAGGGTTTGTGGTCAAAGGAATAGAAGGTCTTGTTTACAAACTAAACAAGTCTTTGTATGGCCTGAATCAATTTCCAAGAATGTGGTACTAGAAGTTCGACTCATATGTCTTGAAGCTTGGCTTTGTCCATTATGATGCTGATAATTGTGTCTATGTGAAATGGTTAGATGAGGATTTTATTATCTTAACCTTATATGTTGATGATATGTTGCTAGTTGGAAATAGTTCGAAAATGATTAGCACTGTGAAAGGATTGTTGGCAAAACTATTGGCAAAAGGACACTAGAAGTGCCATAAGTTGTGTATGGAGATTACTTTGGTGCCATAACTTTTTTTCGGATCACTTTGGTGTCAACTTTTTTGAAAAACGATCACTTTAGTGCCAATGTTGACATGGCCGCCGGAAATCTGACGTGGCACTTTTTTTATTAATTTCCGATGCTGACATGGCTCACCGGAAATCTGACGTGGCTTGCCGGAAATCTGATGTGGCTCTTTTTTCGGCCGGAATTTTGGCCGTAGTCACTAAAGTGATCTCTTTTCCTCCGACTTGGCACCAAAGTGATCCAAAAAAAAGTTATGGCACCAAAGTGATCTCCGTACACAACTTATGGCACTTATAGTGTCCTTTTGCCCAAAACTATTTGAGATGAAAGATCTAGGCTCAGCAAACTTCATCTTGGGCATGCGGATTAAAAGAGAACTTGAGAATGGGAGGTTGTATCTAAGTCAGAAGAAACATGTTGAAAGTGTGTTGAAAAAGTTCAACATGGTTGATTGTAAAATCGTGAAAACCCCCATGTCCACAAGTTCCAAGTTATCAGCGCTCCAGTGTCCTAATACTGAAGATGAAGCTAAAGAGATGACAACAGTTCCATATGCAAGCGCAGTTGGGAGCTTAATGTATGCCTTGATATATACTCGTCCAGATATTGCTCAAGCAGTAGCAATATTGAGCAGATATATGTCCAATCCGAGGAAAGAGCATTGGATGGCAGTAAAGCGGGTGCTTCGTTACCTTCGCAGTACATCTTATCTTGAGCTATGTTATGAAGGCATGAAAAGCTCAAAGGGACAGCAAGCGTTAGAATTGAAGTGTTTCGTGGATGCTGATTGGGGAGGCGACATTGATAGAAGAAGGTTAACTAGCGGATATGTTATTTTCTTATTCGGTGGAGCTGTGAGTTGGATGAGTGATATATTAGGAGGCCAAGCCATCATCACACAGTCGGCTCGGCTAGTGCTATCAAAGCAAGTACAACCTTTGGTAGAAAATTTGTGATTCTAGATGAATCGAGACTGGTCTAAAAAAGGCAAGGATCGGAATAATTGCAAAAGAGGGCGCAAACAAAATATGGCTCTCCCAACTATTTTCACATAGGTTCATCTTCTTTTGATTTCTTGCATATTATTATTTCTTTAGAATTTTATTTTTATGTCACATAGGAAAATAGGATGTCTTTGGAGTAATTAAGAGCAGTTATAGCCTATACCAATGTCAAGAAAATTTTATAACAAGTTGTATTATCCATTCTTGATTTGAAGGATCTTACTATCACTCTCCCACTAACTATCAGATCGAGAATGGATAAGGCTGTATGTGAAAAATTCTCCCTTGACAAAGTTCGGGACGATGCTCCGACAGTTTGACAGCGGTGCATTGAATCGACATGTTTGCCGATATTCAAAGCATAAGTTGAACCTAATAGTTGATAAGCTTGAGCACCGGTAGCCATGATTCTGAGATGACTATCATTCTTACAAATCCGTGTGAGAAGCTTGTCCCTAAGCCTCACGTTTATAAGTGAATTCAAATAGAAAAATAATAACATAAAACTTAATTATCATTTGTCAAAATAATGCATTTATTTCAATGTGCCAAACTGATCGACTTAGATCTCCCAAAGCAAATCCAATACAACATGCCCCGAAAGAAAAGATTACTGAAAAATCCTCACACAATGTTTTCTAGAAAACAAAAGGTCTAATTAGAATGCACATCAAGCATAAGCATCAGGATTGGCAGAAAGGTACTTCTCGACGACCTTGTACAACCCCATAGCTTTTTCTTTGCCTTGTTTAATGTCCTCTTCTTGAAGATCACAAGTGTTGTCACACTGTCGAGACTGTTCAAGGCTATGTTCCTTGACTCCCACCATATCCTACCCAAGATTGTTCCCAAGGGCATCAAGAGCGTTGAGTTCATCGAGGGAGACGGCGGAGTTGGTAGCATCAAGCATACCAACTTTAGTGAAAGTAAGTCAAATCATACTCCACTACAAAAAAACACCGGATTAGCGACGAAATTTGCGACGGAAAATGTGGAAAAATCCGTCGCAAATCAAATTTGCGACGGATTTTGTGACGGAAAAAATTCCGTCGCTACTAGCATAATCATGTCCCCGAACTCATAGTTTTTGGTTTGTAAGAGTAAAGTAAATCTCCCAATACTTTACTTGGATTTTTAATCGACCCATCAAGAAATAGATTAGTGGCAACTCCAAACTGAAATGATTTGCATGTTAATAATTTGAAACATAAGTCGTGAATTAGTATGAGCTTGGGAGAGTTCGAGCTATGTTTAGGCTTAATAATCCATTAGTCAACCTCTAGATGGTGCACCTTCGAGGTTAGGTTGCGACATGATTAATTTATATAGACTCGCCTATTTTACGCTATCATTCCGACCAAAATGGATGATTCACAGTATGACCAAAATATTTGATTTGAATTACTTTTTCTAGAGAGGTGGTACACCAAGTACAGACTATCGTAATGGGCCCAAAATGTCTGCGAATGAATATGTAATATCTTATTAATTGCAATACCTCACGTTGTTATCATTACGGTCAAACAATAGAGCTTTGATCGTGATTTGTACTTTTCCAATCCTTCGATCGGTGGCTCCTCCCAATAAAAAACAAGAAAGGCTTGAAAGTAGTTTGGCTCGGTCCAATTGGGAGTGCTTTGAACTTTGAATGATGATGGAGTACTAAACAGAGGACTTGCCTATAAGTACCAAGTAGTTCTCTTCATCATCTTCATCAGCTCAAGCCTTCTCCATTAGCAATTACATCAAACCCTTCTCCCACCCTTCTTGAGTTCAGTTCTCTTTGTTTCTTAACAGGCCAACATGGGAGTTGTCACCTACTCGCAGGAGATCACAAGCGTCGTTGCACCATCGAGGATGTTCAAGGCTTTGTTCCTTGACTCCCATATCCTACCCAAGATTGTTCCCGGGGGCATCAAGAGCGTCGAGTTCATCGAGGGAGATGGCGGAGTTGGTAGCATTAAGCAAACCAACTTCGGTGAAAGTAAGTCGGATCATACTCATATTTCTACCATGTCAAGTATATATAGAGATCTCGGAATTAAGAATTAACTTCTTCACTTTAACAAATTCACATAACAGGCTCCCATATCAAGTACACGAAGCACAAGATCGATGCTCTCGATGCAGGTAGCTTTTACTGCAAATATACCATGATCGAAAGTGACATCAAGTTCGACAAGATCGACTGTGTTGTAGAAGAAGTGAAGTTCGTCGCTGCTGGCAGCGGATGCGTCTGCAAGATGACCAGCGAGTACCACGTTCAGGAAGGTTGTGAGCTCAAGGAAGAGGACATCAAGAAGGGTAAAGACAGAGCTATGGGATTGTACAAGGCTATTGAGGAGTACCTTGTGGCTAACCCCGATGTTTGCGCCTAAATGCTATTGTCAAGATCCTTTCGAGACTTCTGTTTTCCCTTTGGCTCTGCCTCGGAGCTTATGAGAGAGGAAAGGTTTTTATAGTGTGATTTCTATGTTTTAAAGGGGTTTGATTGTTGTGTAAGGCCATGCCAAAAAATAAAGCTTGAAGGAGCAATGAGCAATCTAATAAATTATGGATTTTGCCCAAGAAAAGATCTCCCTTTGGGGTCATGAAGGTGAATTAAGGTGCGTTAATCCAATTTGATTTGTTAATATAAAATCTTCCCACTAACTGTATCCATCAGAACTATGCAATTTAATATTGATGAATTAAGCTATAGTGTGCTTCTCCGCAAATCATGGAAGCAAACATTAAGATTGTTTACCTAATTAAAACCATCCTGCCGAACAAAATGGAGGATATGTGACCAAAAAAAAAAAAACAAACTCCATTTGACTAGAAAAGAATAAGAAAAATAAAAGGTAGAAAAGTACTCAGCAAAATATAAAAAAAAGCTAAAGAAGGGTCCCAAGAGAGACATTTGTCTTTGTGGATTAATCCCAGTTTAGAGTAGACTCAATTTCGGTCCGACGACGTAGCTATCACGGCATTTGAATAGTCAAACCTTGACAATGGTGGTCACGGTCGTCTGGTATGAGACTAAGATTCGTGTCTAAATCAGTTCATAACATGGAAAATTCAATTTTCTTTACGAAAAAGATTGCATCCAGGCAAATCGGAGCCAGACAAACGATCTTTTGATCGTGATTTGTCCTTTCCTAACCTTCTGGATGATCGGTGGCTCGCCCAATAAGAAAACAAGAAAGGCCCGAAAGTAGTTCGGCCCGTTCCATTCAGAGTGCTTTGAACTTTGAATGATGATGGAGTACTGAACTTATGGACTTGCCGATAAGGACCAACTACTTGTCTTCATCATCTTCATCAGCTCAAGCCTTTTTCTATCACATCAAACCAGATCCTTCTATTTCCTATTGGAGTTCGTTTCTCTTTGTTTCTTACTAGGCGAACATGGGAGTCATTACCTACTCTCAAGAGTTCACATCTGCTGTCGCTCCATCAAGGATGTTCAATGCTTTGATCCTTGACTCACACAACGTCATTCCAAAGATTGTTCCCGAGGGCATCAAGAGTGTCGAGTTCATCTAGGTAGATGGTGGAGTGTGTAGCATTAAGTAGACCAACTTCGGCAAAAGTAAGTTGGATCATATATGTAGTACTGTGCCGAGTTCATTAATAACATATAGGCGTTAGAATTAAACCATGTGCTTTTATGAATTTGTGTAATAGGTGCCCATATCAAGTAAAACAGGCAGAAGATCGATGTTCTTGATGCTGAGAACTTCTACTGCAAATACACTTTGTGTTGAGATACATGTGTGAGTTGTGTTAGAGAAGTCCCACATTTGAGAATTTGTGTAGTGTGGAGCAGTTAATATATCCAAGTTGGCATAAAACTCATTGGCTTAAGCTTTTGAGTGAAGGTGGGTCCAATTAGATATGTTGACGAGCTCGGACTTGAGATCCATCTTAGTGATCTCTCTGGGTAAAGGTATTGGGCTTCTACTGCATGCTTCCAACAAATGGTATCAGAATCGTTGGTTGATTGGTGACCAACTTATAATGTGTATTGCGGTTTCCGGGTGGTGGGGGTAGTGGTGCAGCAGCGCGGTTCCGATAGCAATCTTCATGCTTCGATTTGAAGAAAGAGACTCCCAATGTGTATTGCGGTTTCAAGGCGGTGGGGGCTGTGGTGTAGCAACGCGGTCCCGATGGCAGCCTTCATGGTTCGGTCTAGAGAAAAAGGCTAGGGATGAACTTGGATATTGATGAAGATTCAAGATGAGATATGTATAAGTCGGTGCAAAATGATACCCGAACTAAGGGGGAACAGACCTAACATTGAGCTCATACACGAGAGAGAGATTGTTGAGATACACGTGTGAGTTGTGTTAGAGAAGTTCCACATCGGAGAATGAATGTGGGTCCAACTAGATATGTTGACGGGCTCAGACTTGAGTTCCCTTTTGGCGATCTCCTCGGGTGATGGTATTAGACTTTTATTGCGTGCTCCCAACACGTTGATTGAAAGCAACACCAAGTTCGAGGAAATCAACTTCATTGTCTACGAGGTGAAGTTCCTGGATACAATCTTTTTCAAAGAAAGGAAATTGAATTTTTTATATTAGACATAAATTTTAGGTTTGATATCAAACAACCATGACCACCGTTGCTAAGGGTGTGACTCTATGTTCGTTTATTGCGCTATCAAGGACAGTCGCGAAAATAAGTTTAGGAGCCGATTCTCTTGGGGGAAAGGACCTGACCCCTGGCTCCCACAATTAGATCAAAGGCTGAAATTTAATGTAAATGGTGCATGGAAAGATAACGAATGAGCTATAGATATTATTGCATGATCGGTTAGCGGCTCGGTAGTCCTAGCTTAGACAAAAAGAGAAAATTGGAACTCGCCGATGGAAGTGTAAGCAGCAGCTCTTCTTCTCGCCTACAATGATGCTAATTCCCTCGACGTCCGAAAAGCAATTTTCGAAACTGGTTGCAATGTCTTAATTAATGTTATCCAACAAAAGGGCCTTTGCTCTCGGGGTACTCAACCTTCCTTTTTCAATATAGTTCAGGTTGGAGTTAAGCTTGGACTTGTAAACCCAATTGATGGAGTTACTTATGCGCTTACAAAAAATAAAGATGAACATGTATCCTCAATAGATTGGTAGTCTCTTAGAAAGAATACACTTTGACTATTTATAACTTGCGATAGATGATAAACAGTTACCAAGTATTTAAAATCTCACTTTGTGACACCTATTATTTAGCAACACTTATTGACCTAACTCATTTACCGACTCTTCGCTCCTACACTCGGCCACTTTCCGCCAACATCTCCATCGACTAAGCAGGTCTTCTTATAAACCGCTTCTACATTATCGATTAAATACTCCCAGTACTTAGTAATCATCAGCTACAATTACCATCTTAACAGGCTTTTTTATCGATCAAATTGCCGACCAAACACTAGGGCATTTTTTGGTGTTAACACAACCGCAATCAAGAGAGAGTCCACAAGAATGATGGTTTGGAGACTCAAAGTTGATTGTAATTCAATCGGACAAGCCATTAAAAAAAGGAAGAAAGTAACAAAAAAATTACAAACTATACCCACTGTGATATATTTACCATGAACTTTTTTCTTTGTGACATTAAAAATCTTAAACTATGTATACTGTGACACATTTATCCTAGTCTTTTCTTTTGTGACATAAAAACTCCAAACTTTTACCTATGTATACTGTTGCTTTCTAGCGTCTGTGTAGACAAATTTTTAATGATTGTCATTGACATAACTCTGACAAAGGATACATGTATCATGCAGGTACAAGTTTGAGATTTTTTGTGTCACAGAAAAAAAAACTTTAGGATAAATATGTTACAGTGTACATAATTTAAGATTTTTAGTGGCTATCGCCCTTAAACAAAAGAAATGAATCAACTTTATATTTTTTCTTTTATGAATATAATTGTGCATTGAAGGTTGTTTTGTTTCCTCACGCTTGCTTCTTGCGATTATTTTAATGTTTTATACTTGAATGCTTATTTATGTACATTTACATATAAATAAAATGTATGTTTTATTTTCGTGTCAAAATTAGTAGTATTATTTGAATATTGAAAAATATCCCAACCCTCATTCGCGTCGTGGGGGTTGCGCCTTCATCCAAGGTGCCCCTCTCCTTGATGAGAAAATATTCAGTGATTTGTCAGTGCCACAGCACTAGCTGATGTGGCGCGTATTTTTTTTTAAAAATAGAACCACTTACAATTTGACACTTGTCTCAAATAAAAAAAACTAAAATATCTGTTTCTTTTCTCTCTCTCTCCTACATTTAGCCATCGCCTTTCCTGGGCTCCATACTTCCCTCGGCCGTTGCCACCGGCGCCACGTCCAGGCGAGCCACCGCCTCCATCGTCTTCGTGGTCAACTCCATCTTCCTAAGCATGACCTTTATTACGTTGTTTTTCTTTTTGCATTTTGATTTCGTAGTGCTGCCAATCACGGTGCGTCATCCATGGCATCTCGACCTCACCGTCGAGACTTGGGGCCATTGATGAGCCACCGTCGCAAGATCTGAAGGCATGGCTCCAGATCTGAAAGTTTGGCTTTGTTTGTGGTCTTACATCGTGGATTTTGTGGTCGACTTCGTCAAAAGTCTTAGCCAAATCTGGAAGTTTTCGGCTTTGTCTTGTGTCGCAGTCTCTGCGGTAGGCTCCATCAAGGGTTGTCATCCCGGCAGCCTCTGTCAAGTCGAGCCATTCCCCCTATCTTTTCGTCAAGTTTGCAATCTCCGTCGGGATCTTCCAAGCTAGATCTGGAGGCATGAGGGAGGTGCGGCAACAAAGGCAGAGGGAGAAAATTTTTGCTGGGCGCAGCGGTTACGGCGTGGCGGTGAGTGTCAAGGATGGAGGTTGCGGCGGCTTGTGTGGTGGAGACAGCCGAGCCGGATGCTCGAGTGGTTGGGCAAACAGTGGTTGGATGGGGGAGCGGGAGGTGGCTGGATGAAGGAAGAAGACAAAGGAAAATAAGATTTTTTACTATTTTTTTTATTTGAGACACGTGTGTTAAATAATAAGTGGTTTATTTAGAAAAATGCTTGCCACGTCAGCTAACTCACCGAATATTTTCTCCTCTCTAACTTTGATTTAGTTTATTTTTTTAAAATTTTTTGTTTTCTCCAATTTTTTTCTCTTTTGTATTTATTTTTTAGATATTTGATATATTTTCTAATGTGGCGCCACATTGCTAACAAGTATTAAAAACTACCATGACGGATTATTGTGTGCAATATCATTGAACCCGATCGTGACCTCTTTAGAAGGACCAAACTGATGCTGATAAAAAAACATTTAGAAATTTATTGCATAATTCAAATGTTTAGGATTTGGTTGCATAATTGGCACAACTTTTAGGACAATTGGTGCAATTTTCCCATTTATATGTGGTGAAAGATTTAAATTTTTTTGGGTAAAAACAAGTCAAATTGTGTGCAATGCAAAGATTTATTAAGTGAAGTCAATCTAGACCCGCCTTGAAAACTCGCATTTCTCATCCACCCCAATATTTATTGCTATAATGTGGAAGATTGCACTTCATCATTTTCAATAGTTTGGAATCTGGTTGTACCACAATGCATATCACATAGAAACATCTTTTTAATGCACTACTAGACAAATAATATTATAGCCGGGGGCTTCATATG